AACCAAGGAATAGAAAAATGTAATTCTATCACAATCTGCTACTTTGATTTATCTGTTTTAAGCTCCATCTCCGGAGTGCCCCTTCAAACTGCATTGTGCCCAGAAAAAGACATCTGCTGTGAACGGGGTGATTCCCCTTATACCCAGAAATACAAAATATTAAGGAGACAGGATGCTTGAATAATTCCCATGAAATATAGGCTTAACCTTTATGGTCCTAAAACTTTAGAATACTGGTTGCCTTGTTTCAGTTCTTTATTGTAAAAATCTGTGCAGCAATAAATCTGTAAGCCGTTTGTGTCTCTGCCCCTCCCACAATGGTGACATTTCCCTGCAGTAATTTGTGTCTCTGCCGCTCCCACAATGGTGAGATTTCCACCTGTAGTTTGTGTCTCTGCCCCTCCCACAATGGTGAGATTTCCCCCTGTAGTTTGTGTCTCTGCCCCTCCCACGATGGTGAGATTTCCCCAAACTAGTGTAACAGTCCTTGATAAACTGAACGGAAACACTGAGCTTAGCACTCCCTAATACAGTGTGTAGATCTGTCTGTAATGAGATGATTGGTTCTTATGGTGTATGCAGATGTCTGGGCTCACTGACAATTTGCAAAAATGCAGCATGTAAAAACTAAAGCACAGAGTCAGTGAGTATAGACATCTGCATCTACCAAAAAGAGCTATGGTGGAATGGTAGTGTGGTAGAAGCATGATTTGTGTGCTGGTGGAGGTCTCCTATATAACGGATAAGTACCTTAGATTTGGGTGGAGGGCTGCTTGTGCACTTCTCTGTGTTCATATTCGTCGGAGACATGGCACCAAGGTTCCCCTGCGGCATGCCAGGTATTTTGTGCCCCGGGGAGACTTGCATGGCAGCCAGCTGAGCGGCATACAATTGCTGCAAAATAGAAAGAGAGAGAGAGAAAGATGAGGACATGCATCATTCAGAGCCCTCTGTCCGGCGGCTGCGGGGCCCTTCACTCCTGGCGAGAATTTATTTAGCACACAGATTTCCCCCTGTAGTTTGTGTCTCTGCCCCTCCCACGATGGTGAGATTTCCCCAAACTAGTGTAACAGTCCTTGATAAACTGAACGGAAACACTGAGCTTAGCACTCCCTAATACAGTGTGTAGATCTGTCTGTAATGAGATGATTGGTTCTTATGGTGTATGCAGATGTCTGGGCTCACTGACAATTTGCAAAAATGCAGCATGTAAAAACTAAAGCACAGAGTCAGTGAGTATAGACATCTGCATCTACCAAAAAGAGCTATGGTGGAATGGTAGTGTGGTAGAAGCATGATTTGTGTGCTGGTGGAGGTCTCCTATATAACGGATAAGTACCTTAGATTTGGGTGGAGGGCTGCTTGTGCACTTCTCTGTGTTCATATTCGTCGGAGACATGGCACCAAGGTTCCCCTGCGGCATGCCAGGTATTTTGTGCCCCGGGGAGACTTGCATGGCAGCCAGCTGAGCGGCATACAATTGCTGCAAAATAGAAAGAGAGAGAGAGAAAGATGAGGACATGCATCATTCAGAGCCCTCTGTCCGGCGGCTGCGGGGCCCTTCACTCCTGGCGAGAATTTATTTAGCACACCAAAAGACAGGCGCTGTCACCTCCGTTTCTGTGATTTCGTATCTCAGGGGGGTGAAGTGACAAACGTCACATGCGCAGGATGACATCTTCAGTCTGTTAGGGGACACTGAGCCGATTACAATAGTCAGAGCTCCGTTCAATCCCTCCACAAGGAGAGACAAGAGAGCTCTGAGACCTTCTGCCTGGAAAGGCAAAACCAAGCCAGGAAAATACAGATAGACAGTCATGTGAAAAATTAAGTACACCCCCCATGGAAACTGTGGACCTTTTCAATATATCCTAACAGGCAAATATTAGCTTTTCATCCAAATGGTGCCTACAGATAAAGGGGATATACTTCAACAAATGACATGGTGTATTCATTCTCATGATATAAATTAATGAAATGCAGATTTGTAGTATGGACAAAGTAAGTACACCCCCAACATTTACCATTATTCATGAAATTACAATCTGGATTTCCAGATTACTTGCCCACGATTAGAACCTCCTTAGGCAGTATGTAGATGGAACCGCTTTTCTCCTAAACCTGAGACATCTAGGGTCTGGTGTTCTCTTTGCTATTGACCTGTGTGGTCTCATCATGCCAAGATCAATAGAGCTCTCCAAGTCCCTCAGAAACAAGGTTCTGGATACCCACAATCTGGAAAGGGATTTAAAAAGATCGCCAACTGATCTGAACTCAATCAATCCATTGCAAGGAAAACAATCTCCAAGTGGCATAGACAGGGGCGTCCCGAGGCCGGGTGTCACCCGGAGCGGATACCGGATGAATCCCTGCCTCGACGTCTTCCTGCATGTGCGTGACATCATCGCGCATGCGCAACCATTGCAATACCTGCAAGTTCAATTGCTAAAGAGCCGCATGGCATGTACAAATGCTGTATAGGACTATTCCTCATGTAATTTTTTTTTCTGGAGTTGAACTCCAAGCAAACCACTAAACACACAGATGGAATACATATATAAGAGCTGTTTACCTGCCCAAGGATTTAGATTTCTGTCCATCCAATCTTGAGATTTACAAAGCTCTGCCCCACAGCACAGCCCTGTCTAGCAGGGCAGCAGACCTGATTTTTCTTTGCTGCAGTTCAGTAACATTTACAGGTCCCCAAAATGAAGGACAGTCATTTTGGTGTCACCCCGCTAAAAAGTCGGGCACTTGGACCCAGAGCCCGACAGTGCCAGGAGAGAGGAGGGGACCAGGCGGCATACCTCATCCTTCCAGGTGAACGTCTCCTCCTCTCTCTGCTGGCGTCCATCACCAAGATGGCCGCCGGCAGCCGTCACTTAAATGATCACCTCATGCGCGTGCATGGACGCCCCTGCCCAAGCCTCCGATTGGACAGTGAAGGAGAAAAAGCAGTGTGATGAGCTTATCTTTCTATCACTCTGCTCTCTCTTCCTATCAGTATGCCCCTTGTTATACCATGATCACCCCTTATTGGCTCTTTGTGCTGCTTCCTCTCCTAGCCTGAGATCTGTCAGGGGCTGCAAAAGGCTAATAAGTCAATTTAAGTGTTTACATTAATTGCTCTAATATGATTATGGATGTATAAACGAATACAGAGCTGCATTAACTTATGTCATTATATCTGCCTGGAGTTCAGCTTTAAAATAAATCACTTCTTATTTGCTTCTCCCATTGACTCTGAATAGATTTTGTCAAAATGGCGACACATCCCGTTACAATATCGCACTAGTGAACATTCGTAAATGTGAAGTATCTATCCATGAAAAAAATATGGACAAATATCTCTCCATTATCGGAGATACTAAAAATCACACAAAAAAAGACATTTCTAAATAAATGTTCATTCCAATTTTTTGAAGCGGTGGAGATTTTGCACCATTTATTCATCAGTTTAGTGTTTTGTTTGTTTTGTTGTGTCCCCCATGTATGACCTAAATATGAGCACCGTGGCAGCAGAGACAGCGACTCCACAACGGCAGAAGACGCTCAGAGATGGCGCTTTCTCCATGACAGTGAGCGGATGTGACATTTGCGCCTTGTGGGCAGGCTGGCGGAGATTCAAGGAGGAGAGAGCAACAAAGGAGAGATGCGGTTTAAAAAAAAAAAAAGGAAGAAAAGGACACTTGGGTCGAGCTGAAGAGTCCAAAATCTTCCCTGAAAGCGCAGTAGTAAAATGTGCGGGATTCTGGGGAGGTTCCAAGGCGCTCTTCTTTTGTCTCGTACAGCTAATGCAACACGGCAGGAAAAGACTGCGGCCTCCTCGTCGGGCATGGCAGACTTTGGGTTGGCTGATGGCCCTTGCGGGGAAGACAAATTGTGAGTAAAACGAGCCCAGACAAGGCCTAGCCGGTGAACGCCGCCTCGCTTAACGTGCTGTGTTTACATCGGAGTGACTGAGCGCTCTCCGACGACTCGAGCACAGATTGTTGCTGTTACGGTTCCACTTTTCAGCTTTGCGGCGGTGAGGGAGCTAAACGGATTCATCTGGGCCGATTACCGAAATGTTCCAGTGAGAAATGTCAGTCAGAAGCGAATTCTGCGAGGGGTTCAGAATCCGCCATCGTTCCGCAGACTTGGATGTTCTCTTAAAAGCGTAAAAAGCGTCACAAAAACTGTAAACAATGGGGGGAATTTATCAAAACTGGGGCAGATTTGCACTGCAACCAATCAGCTTCTCTGTTTCATTTTCAAATCTTACCTGAGCAAACTGAAGAGAAATGCTGATAGGTTGCCATGGGCAACTGCTCCAGATTCTGTCCGTTCCAGTTTTGATAAATTCCCCGCAAAGTCTTTTTGCTAGTTTGCCGATTCTGGCTATACCTTATACAGCAGGGGTTGGCAACTCCAACCCTTCAGCTGTTGTGGAACTACAAGTCCCATGAGGTATTGCAAGACTGACAGTCACAGGAATGACTCCCAGAGCCAGCGGCATCATGGGATTTGTAGGTAAAGTACAGCTGGAGGGCCAGAGTTGCCCACCCCTGCTATACAGCAAATAGTTAAAGGGAAAGGTCTTCGAGTCCCCGAAATGTGTTGCATGTTGGATGCTGTTGTTTGTGAACCGATACTAGTATTAAAAGTTTTCGGACTCTCAAACTGTTTTAGACTTTTTACATGTGGATCTTCAAAATCTGGGCTCCCCCTCAAAACTGGAGCAGATATGCACTGAAGTCAATCAGCTTCTCTTTTTAATTTTCAAATCCTACCTGAACAAACTGAAGAGAGAAGCTGCTCCAGATTTTCTCTGTTCCAGTTTTGATAAATTCCCTTCTCGGTCTTTAAAGCGGCCTCAGCAGAGCCACTGCGCCTTGTCACGATCCCTTGATCCCTTCTGATCATTTGAGTCCACTGCCCCATCTCTTATTTGTTCTGCAGGGCCCTGGTGCATAACCTGAGGAGGGCTTCTGAACTGGATATGAACCAGGCGCGACGCAGCAGCCCAACGGGGGCGTACAGACGGAAAACAAAACGCAGTTACTTTGCTGATCGTAACAAACGCTCCCCGGAGAGTCGCCGAATTGAACGCGATACATTTGGAAGCAATTACTCAGCAAATTACATCTTAAAAATAGATCCATAAAGGTTCGCCGGGTTCTTCCGATAAACAGACGATCTCCACGCAGCCGCTCCGACACCTCCAGCCGCTTCAGAGCGCTTCATGAGGTAATGTTTGCTCAGAGGCTCCGAAGAGTTCCTCGCGAGGCGGAGAACGTATGTGGGCGACTTTTTAATACTAAACTAAACACAGCTGTAAGTATTTTTAGAAGAACCTGATTTAAAAAATATGTGACAACTTTTTGACGTGCTCCCAAATATTAATTCAGCGTTCGAAGCGCGTGTGAGTTTAAGGGGGGGGGGGCGCGATGGTCAAAACTGACGTCCCAACAAAAGTCAAACTCGGGAGTAATTACTGTACTTTAAGAAGTTGGAATAAAAACTTTGCTGTGAAAGGGAACAAAGAGTTGGCGCAGGAAGCCAATCCCAGGCGGATGTTGGAACATGAAATGTGACGGGCAGATACTTCGCTGGGCGCACAGTATGGAGAGAGAAGGTTCGGGCTTCCGGCTTGTGGAGAAATGGCTTTGCTTTACAGTCCTTTAGTGGTTAAAGTTCTGCCTACACAGGGCTGCCTTTGCCCTCCAATTATCCTTCGGGGTACACTGGGGGCTCAGCACACTTCCTATGGTTCTGGTGAGAGAGGAGCACACTGACCACACATGCTAATCAATGGTCCAGCACTCCCAATGCCCTAGTGGAAACGTCTCAATAGCAAGCCTCTTGATTGTGTTATATTTGATGCAGCGCCCCCTGGTCATCATACACCCCAGCAAAGTACACGGCATGATCACCTTGCTGTACTGGAGTCCCGAGTTCAATTCACACCAAAGATGCTAACTACATGGACTCAATAATGTCCTCATCTCATAGTTCTGGGAAGAGTCCATGTACTATAGACATACTAGTAGGTTACCTGACTTCTACCCATCCATGTGTCATCTCTTTATCTCTACACAAGTCATAAATAATAATAGAGTGTGACTGTGGTGGGACATTAGAGTGTAAGCTCCTCTGGTGCTGAGACTGATGTGACTGACTCAGTGTTCTCTGTACAGCACTGCAGAATATGTCAGAGCTATATAAATGAATATTAATAACAACAATAATAATAATAGTGTGTGACTGAGGAGGGACATTAGATTGTAAGCTCCTCTGGTACACAGAATGATGTGACTGGTTCTTTGTATAACACTGCAGAATATCTCAGAGCTATATAAATGTATAATAACAATAGTCTGTGACTGTGGGGAGAGGGGATTAGAGTGTGAGCTGCTCTGGTGCAGAGACTGATGTGACTGGCTCAATGTTCTCTGTACAGCACTGCGGTATATGTCAGAGCTATGTAAATGTTTAATAATA